AACCCAGCCCTGCACCCAGACACACCAAACCCGGAGCCACACAGCCCAGCAAACTGGGGCACCCCCCGCCAGAGCCGCACAGTCCCTCCCCAGAAGGACAGAGGTGTTGGTTGGGATAACCCCACCCTCTGGTCATCCCATCACAGCCGTGCCAGCACACACGGGGGGGGCTCTGCGAGGGCACCCCCTGCCCAGCGCGCCTCCGCTGCCACCCTCCAGCCCCCCGAGCATCCCCCCAGGTGGGCACCAACCCTCGGGGTCTGGCCTTTGGGGGCAGCCCCCCGCAGCCGGGCTGAGGGCGATGGGGTTCGCCCGACACCCGCAGCATCGGGCACCGGGTGCGGTACAAAGGTTCGTCCCCAGGGGGGGACCACGGGGACGCGCGGTGTGGCACATGGGGCTGGCACGCTGCCGCCCCGGCTGCCGGCTGCCAGGTAGCCATGGAAACCTCCCGGCAGGATGCTGTGCCGATAAATAGCCAATTTGAAGTGATTCTCCTCAAAGAGCTTTTTTTTTCCCCTGTATTTTTTGATATATAATGTCCCAGCCATTTTTTATGTTTACCTTTACGTTTTTGTTATTTTCCCTTTATTTGATTGGTTTCTCTCATTCCATTGTTTTTCTTATTTTTTTCTTTATTTTATTATTTTTCCTTCGACTCAAGGCCTGAGCTCTATGAACACTCAAAACTGGGACTTGCAATCTTCCTTCTCATCAATGAGCCGAAGCTCGTTGTTGTTCCAGTGGCAGCACACACAGAAGCGGGGTGACATCGTTCAGGGGGTGCAGGGCCACGTGTGCCTGGAGCTGCTGCTGGCCTGGGCGTGTATTTGGGTGGGATGAACACACGTGTGTGCCCCTGAGTGCCCGTGTGGGTGAGTTTGGACGTGTGGCTGTGCGTGGAGCTGCAGATCCAGGCGCTGTGTCGGTGCAAGCAGGCTCGTGCACACACGTGTGCCACGGGAGTCACAGCCCAGCGTGGGCTCCTCGGGAGTCTCCCAGGGGTGGAACAAGAGGAAATGAAGATTTCGGAGTCCTGGTGACCCACAGCCGGACTTGGGGACCCACAGCCACCTGAGATTCATCCTTCACGAGTGGATGGGCAGAGCCGTGCCTGCTCCTCTGAGGCTGCACCCCACCTCGGGTGCATCTGGGTGTAGGGCTGGGTTGGGGATGGGTGCTCAGCCTGCAGGACACCTGGCACATCCGTGCCCCTGCTTGGAGCGCTGTGGCCATTCACCACGGGGCTCCAGGAGATGGATTCTGCAGGGATTTCACTGCCTTCTCTCACTGAAGAAAGGAATGGGGCTGTCTGCAGCTTGCCTGAGGCTTCCACCCGGGGAAGAATGCTCCAAGGATGCTCCAGAGATGCTTCAGTTCCCTTCTCTGACCCTTCTACAGCCCAGGGTCCCCACTACCCCTGGAAATCTCATCCCCCTTTCTCCCCACCCCAATCAGACTCGGAGAGTGGAGAGGAGCAGGGCTGTCCCCCAGGGGACACACAGCAGCCGGCGTGGTGCCGAGTCAGCAATCCTATAGATCTGCACACAGCTCCCTGGGGATCCTATCCCGCTCCCTGAGCTCCGTGCCCAGCCCCAGACAGGGATGCAGCAGGGATATCTCTGGGCTGACAACCCAGGAGCGTCGCTGCTCCAATGTTAAACGGGGAGACTGAAAGATCTGTTATTTTTAAATAAATGCAAATTAACGTCTGCTTAATGGGGAAAGACAACCCCAGCTCCCCCTCAGAGCCAGTGATGCAACAGAAGTGGAAAAAGAGCCACCAGTGGGAGCATCCTTCCTCGGGTGCCAGACCCCAGTGCTTTGGGATGCTGTAATGGTTTCACACCATTGGCCTCTGCTGGGCGGAGGGTTGGCAGCTGCTTGTACCCACTGGTCCCTGTGCCCACTGAGGAGGTCCCCCCGACCAGGAAAATCCTGATCTGGCTCCCACCTCTGCCGCCCATCACCAGTTTGCTCTGGTCATGTCTCCTTGCCCAGCTCTGGCCCTGCCAAGCCAAGGGCAGCCACCCTTCCCCAAACACTGTCTCAATTCCCTCCAGACACCGAGCCCCAAACGCTCACAGTCCCCACTGCCAGCATCCCATGGGAACTGGGAGAGGCAGATGCCCCATCCCAGGGACCCTCCTGGGCACAACCCACCTCTGCACCCTTTCCTCCCCCCCCCCACCAGCCCAACATTTGTTTAGTTATTTAAATTTCCTTTATTTTTCTTATTAAGTTGGAGTGGCGAGTGGGCGGCTGCCAGGGAGGGAGGAGGGAGCAGGCTGAGCAGGGGGAGAACTGGCAGGGATAAAAGACTTCAAGCAGCCGGGCCTTTCCTCTGCCCCATCACTTTCTGCTCTTAAAACCCTCCCAGGGGCTCTCCTCTCCCACCCTCACCAACCAGAGCCCCTTCCCACTGCTCTGGCCAGGCTGGAAGAGGATGGGTGGTCCCCCGTGTCAGTTTGGGGAGCAGAGGGTTTCCCCAAATCTTTCCCCAGCCTGAGCCCATTTTCTGTATGGATAAACTGATGGCAGAGGAAGGTGGTGAACCCCTTGGGAGCACTCCGAGTGGGGTGGCAGACACACACACATAGATGGGGAAAAGGCAGGAGGAAAGGAAAAGTAAAAAATAATGGGAGAAAGGCTGGAAAAATCCAGTGACAGTTTAATGGGGTCGCTGATAGAATAATGACTGGTTTAAAGTCTGCCGGAGCGTGGCTGCTCTCTATTAAACCTGGAAGCTGAGAGGCTGCTGAGTTCATTACTGGGGAGGGGGGTGCAGGGATGTGGAGTGGGGGGCTGAGCTGCCGTGGGCGCAGATGCAGGGGAAGACCCGTGGAGACGTCCCATACTGGTGCCATGGAGCCACTGTGGCATCACACCAGGGCTGTCTGGGCATTACCTGGCACTACCCAAAACGAGGAGGGTGAATGTGGGGTTTCGCCCCCACAAGAGGCAGCACCCAGGGAAGGCAGCACTCGGGAATGGCAGCACCCCGGGAATGGCAGCACCATCACCGTGACCCAAGGCTGGCATTCCCCGAATCCGTGTGTCCGGCACACAAGGTCACTGATGCTCCCACCACCACCAGACCGTGGGCAAGGACAGGGACAATTCCGGCTCTGCCACGTGCCCAGGGCTCCAGCCCCCCAGGAAGAGGCAGCGGGTCCCAGCCAGGTCCCAGTGGGATCCCAGCCGGTGGCTGCAAAGGGGACAAAAGACACCCTCACGTGCCCAACCACCCCCCCCCCCCGAGTGCTGGGGTTTATTAAGTTGTTTGTAAATGCCTCTGCAATTAATCACTCCCGGTGTGGGGTGTCACATGGCGCTCGCCTCCTCAGTGCTATGTATAGAGAGAGCTGGAGAGGGGCCCCATCCATCCCGCTCCGGAGTGACAGGCTCCTGGCTGGATTCACCCCTCCACAGGGCAGCACTGCACCAGCTCAGGGCAGCAGTGGGGCTGCTGCTGGGCCGGAGGGCGTCAGGGCAGGGCTGCCCCAGTGTCACCATTCCATCCTGGATCCCCTCAAATGGGCTGTCAGCAGCTCTCTGCCCATCCGTTCCCCAAAAAACCAGGATGGAAGTGAAAGGAACCCCAAACCTCACGCTCAAGGGATCCAGAGGGGTTTCCAGCATCCTGCTGCTGCACCCACACTTGGCCTCCTCCGTCTGGTGGGGTGTGCAGGGAGGGAGACCTGGCCCTGGATGGAAGCTCGGCTGGTTGGGAGCCAGGAAGAGCTGGCTCAGCTCCTCAAGCAGGGCAGTGCTGGGGGTCCTGGTGGTGAGAGAGCGGGAAGGAGGAGGATGGAAGGGCAGTCGCATGGCCAGAGGCACAGCAGGGCTGCTGAGGGGGATAGGGGGAGGGATCGGGGAGGGATGAGTGGAGGGACTGATGGTTGGATGGATGAGGGAATGAATTGACTGATGGACAGATGGTTGGATGGACGAGGGGATGGATGGTTGGATGGACGAGGGGATAGATTGATGGATGGACAGATGGATGGATGGATGGATGGATGAATGCATGGATTGGTGGATGGATAGACTGATGGATTAGTATCTGAACAAAGCTGAGCACTAACGGTGTTTCATGGCACTCCCCTGGGGTTTGGTGCCAGGCACCCCCTCCCTGCCCGCAAAACCCTGGGCACCAGGAGCCCCATGGGACTGCCTGGCACAGCAGAAGGGGACAGGGGTCATGGAGCCAGGGCTCGTGGAGGCTCTTCCCCGCTCCCCAACACCCGGGTTCTCACCCTGGCACAGCCATGAGGGACCCGAACCACACACTGGTGTAGGTGAGGCTGGAGGGGTGCTGGTCTCTGGGGGCGGTGGGGACACAGGTGCCTCCCCTCTGTGTCGCTCTGGGTGGCTCCTCTACCCCTCCCAGAGCTGCAGGTGCCACCAGCACAGCTGCCACAGTCCCCAATCCCCCAATCCCACACCCAGCAGCGCCCGCGGGTGATTGACAACCCTCCCACTCCCACGCGTGACTCACCGACAGCCCCGGGGGGGCTCAGCGTGAGCAGGGGGCGGGGGGACACCCCCACCCAGGGCTGTCGACTGCAGGGCTGCAACTCAGCGGGGAGAGACGCTCCCAGCCCCCTGCATCCATCCATCCATCCCCACAGCTCTGCCTCCCCGGGGACCTGCCCCTCCACAGCCCCAGGCGGAGCTCGAGGGGCTCCCACGGCAGGTTCCAAGGTGATGGGAGCTGGCAGGCAGTGCCAGTGCGTGGCATCAGCCACGGGCTGTGGGGAGGAACTCCCAGGGCTGCCACGATCCAAGGGGGCCGCTCCAACCCCTGGCTTTGAAATGCCCATTGTGCCTCACGCTGCAGGGCCCCATCACCCATCCTCCGGCAAAAACCCACTGGGTGCACCCAGGGCTGTCCCTCTGCACCCACAGGGTCACCAGCTCCTGGTGCCCCCGCCCTGCACGGCTGGCAGGGACATGGACACCCCCACCCTGCTGACAGACACGGACACCTCCACTCCGTTTCTCAAGACCTTTAATATTGTCAAGAGGCAGCAGCAGGAAGCAGGGGCTGCTCCTGCCACCTGCACCCTGGTGGATGGGAGACAGAGGCCGGGTGCACCCCCTCCCCAGTTTGGGGGGGACACTGAGGCTTTTGTCACCCTGCCCTGTCCAGCACGGAGGGGACCCTTCCCCAGGAGTGATGGGAGCACGAGGACACCGGTGCCTATGGCCAGGTGTGTGTCCCATGGGAAGGGCTGGTCCCACATCTCACTGTAAGGGCAGCTCCCACCTGCCTTGTCGTTTCAGAGGAGAAGGAATTAAAAACAGGGGATGGAGGAGGAAAAGTAAAAACCCCCAACCGCAGCCCCCAGCCGGGCTCTGCCTGTTTGCCCGGAGCTGGGAGAAGAAGTGGTGGCCAAAGGCAGCGGGGTCAGGGGGCTGGCATCCCGTGGGCTGCCTGGCCATGGCTCCTGAGCCCAGCTCCACGGGGGGGTGGGTGGCCTCGCTGCCATCTCCACTCCTGGCTGCCCGTGGGTCACCGTGGTGGAAGGTGAGAGGCCGTTGGAGGCTCCGGAGGCAGCAGGACCCCAGCAGGGGCCGGGGTGCGGGGCTGGCACAGGACCTCGAGGGCTGCCCCACCTGGGCATGAACCTGTGGCACAAGCGGAGAGCAAAGGGTCCGTGAAGGGGAGGGGGAAGCCACTCCCATCCCTCTCCCACCTTGTGGGAGCCGTGCCATGTCCCCAAGCTGGGGTGGCAACAGGACAGGCAGGGCCATTGGCTCCCACTGCCAGCGGGTCTAGGTAGGGGGTGTGGGCAGGGGGGGACACTCACTGGCATGTCAGTTCTCCAGCTCAGACATTCCGCAGGAGCTGGGGACAGAGGGCAGACAGGTCACCCTTCATCCTCAGCCTCCTCTCCCCCATGTCTGCGCATCACTGGCAGCGTGGTGCCCGGGGGGACACAGGGAAAACCCCCCCCAAGGGAAATCACGGTCCCCCCAGGGTCGCTGGGGTGCCAGCACCCCTCTCCACGGCCGGGGACACTGTCCCCCTGTCCCTGGGAGCCCCGGTGTGCTGGTTCCCTGCCCCAGCCCACACCAGCACACGCACACCGCCAAGCACAGCCCACAGCAAAGCCCGGGGGGGGCTTCGCCGCTGCCCCGTTATAAACCTGAGCCTGGGGGGACGTCCCAGGGCAGCAAGGACGCTGCTTTCTGTCCTTGGGGCACCCTTGGGTGATGCCCAAGCGATGCCAGCGATGGGATCCCGCCGGCACAGCCGTGCCCCCAGGTTTATAACAGCAACGAGGGCCCGAGGGATTGGCTCGGGGGCGGTGGGACCATCGCTGGTCCTACCGCCGGCCCCGTGGCTGGGCAAGACTCCAGCATCAGCACCCGTGTGGTGTGGGGACACCCAACGCGTGGCAGCCCCTGGGCAGGACAGCTGGAGCAGACGGACAGACAGACAGCGGGATCAGGAGCTGATTTGTGACCAGGACAGAAATCCCACCCCTGTTAGAGGAAAAATCAGGAGCATGGCAGCATCCCCTCTTCTTGCATCACATGGTTTGGGACGTCCCTGGACCCAGGAGACCCCCCACATGGGCCCCCAAAGGATCAGCCGGACCTCCCGGATCCTTCTGGGGTGACTGGAGGTGACGTGGTACACACGGAACGGGAGCAGGGATGGGAGTGGGGATATCCCCCCCAGGTTTGGGGTGTGATGCAGGGGGGATGCAGCCCCGCGTGGAGGGCCCCCCGGTGCCCCCAGGTCACTCACGGTTAGGGGGTCAGTAGCGAAAGCAGCCACACTGTTCCTCATCTCGCTCTCATTGCCCCGCAGCGGGATGAGGGAGATGTTACCCAACCTGGCGTCCTGCTGCGGCCGCGCCGCCCGCGTCCGGGGCCGCTCCGAGGGCCACAGGGCCCCCCCGTTCTGCAGGCAGAGGGGACAGATGGGGGCCACAGCCTCGGCCACCCCAGGACCCCCCTTTCACCCTGGCAACCCCCCTTTCACCCTGGCACGCGGGTGTTTAGGGATACCTGGATACCCCAAAGGGTTTCCTTGCTGGCCAAGCGTCCCCCCAGGGCTGACCCCCACGGGGTGTCCTGCTTTTGCAGGGAGTGATGGTCTGTCCCCTCCCTACCTGCACCTGGAGAAAGGTGGCAAACCACTCCCGCAGATCAGCCTGGGTGTCACAGCACAGGTACCTGTGGGGACACGGTGTCAGCAGCCACAGGAGATGGAGGAGGCAGTGGGTGTCCTCTCTGACCGCTCCAGGGGCACCTGCCTGCTCCAGGGGCCTCAGCCACTGCTCTGCATGAGAGCCCAGGGCACTGAAGGGGACAGCCCTGGGCCCCAGGGGGAACCTGAGCGGGGCTGTGGGTGCTCAGCCAGGCTGTGCCCACACCTACGATGTCCCTGCCCATGCCAGGGGGGTGGGACTGGATGCTATTCAAGGTCCCTTCCCACCCAAACCATTTCATGACCCTGTGATTCCCCACCTCCCCCTGCCACAGCTCCAGAGAGCTGCTGCATGTGTGAATGAGTTTAGTGTCCCCGTGTCGCCTTCCCTCACCATTGCTGCTTCTCATGCTTCTCATTCTCATAGAAGACTGTAAAGCCCCAGCTGGAAGAGGGGAGTGAAAACATGAACCCCAACATCCCACACTGCCGTCCTCTGCTGGTCAAGCACCCCAACAAACCCCCTTCATCCCTGCCACCCCCCATCTCTGCGCCTCCCCGTCCCTGCAACCCTCCCATCCCTGCGACCCCTCATCCCTGCAAACTCCCTGTCTCTGCAACCACCCCGTCCAGCCCCACACACCCTACCCCAGTCCTGCAAACTCCCTCCAGCCCCACAACACCCCAGCACTGCACTGCTCCCAGCCCCTCACTCTCCCCCAGCCCCACAACTTCCCCCCGGCGACAGGGACAAGGCAGGGGACAGCGCCGGGAACAGGGCAGGGGACGGGGGCTGGGGACAGGGCTGGGGACAGCCCGGTCCTCGCGGGTGGCACCGGGCTCAGCCGCGTCCTGCGGGGCTGCTCTGACACCTGGTGGCAGGAGGCCCGGCCAGCAGCAAAACTGTCCCTGTCCTTGTCCCCGTCCCCATCCCCACTCCTGTCCTCATTCCCGTTCCCACCCCATCCTCATCACCAGCCCCGTTCCCAGCTCTGCTCCCAGCCCCACGGGCTGCTCACCATGTCGGGGGTCGAAGCTTCTTCTTAACGCCCAGGTAGACCTTCAGGTTTCGGACAGGCCACTCCTTCTCCGGCTTGTGGCTCTGAGGGGACAGGGAACCAGCACGGGGTTGGTGGCTGCCAAACCTGTCCCCACCCACCACGGTCCCCACCGACGCTGGGATGGGGTCCATCCCCCCGGCAGGGAGGAAAACCCAGGGTGATGAGTGACGGGGACGGGGGTGAAGCCCAGGATGGAGCAGAGCAGGTCTCCATCACCCGTGGCAAGGGCCACAGGCAGCAGGAAAGGGACACAGAAGGCCTGTCCCTGGGGCACGGTCCCCCAGAGACAGTGCCAGCTGCCTTCAGAGCTGGGACCAGCACTGGCACACTGTGACAGGGTCTCGAGGGCACCAGACATCTGCTGTGGGGGTCCCACATCACACCCCTGCTCAGCACCACGGCCACTGACATGGCAGCGGTGGTCCCAGACCCACAGTGCCTGGAGCACATTCCTGAATGTCCCACTGCCACCACGGCAGTGCTGGTTGTGCCTTGCCATGCCCCAGGACCCCGGGGATCCTGCTGGGGACCCTGCTGGGGACCCTGGGGACCCCCCATCCGTGTTCACGTGCAAGCGGCGTTGGCTTACAAGAGCCCGATCCAATGCCCGCGGGATGGGGAAGCAGCTCAGCCCATCCCCATCCTCTCCAGCCCCTTCCCACCCCCAGCTCTGGCTGCCTGGAGTGAAGGGCAGCGGGACCCCCGAGCTGGAGGGAGCAGAGAACTCCAGGGGCTCACGGGAAGGGACGGCAGCACCGGGCACAGCTTCGGTGATTGGCACACACACGCTGCAGCATTGGATTTGGGATTGATCCCAGACCGGATCTGGGATCAACCCTGGGCAGGCTTGTAAGGGCAGAGGGCACGGGAGCCCCTGCACCCCAGCTGAGCCCCCCGCTCCCCTCCCTACTCACGCTCTCCAAGGGGGGGCTCCGCTGCCTCAGGCTCTGTTCAACAGAGGAGAGGGGTTAAAGCAGAGGTGGGGGACCCCTCCCTGCAGCCCCCCCTGTGCCCAGGGGCAGGGCAGGGCGATGGAGCAGCGACGTGCCAGGGTGCGGTGTCAGATCAGGGGGAGCAGGAACCGGGGATGGGGAGTGGCTGTCCCAGCACAGCCGGGATGCCAGAGTGCCCATCTCAGCCCTGGCACCGACCAGGAGCTCTGGGATCCACCCCGGGAAACTCCGGGTTTGGCAAGAGCACTTCTGGGGTCAGCCCTGGCACTGCCCACGCTGCCTGTCCCTGCCTGCACAGCCCGTGCCACGCCAGCCCCACAGCTGCCTGCGCTGCCTGTCCCTGCCTGCACTGCCCGTGCCACGCCAGCCCCACCGCTGCCTGCGCTGCCTGAGCGATGCCAGCCCACACGGGCCTCGTGTCCCCAGGGACGCCCCGCACACAGTCACGGTGTGGCAGGGCCGGGAGGGGAAGGGAAGTGAAGGCAGGGGCAGGGCAGGCAGCAGGCAGGGGCTCACCCTCACTTCCTTGTAGAGGCGCAGGCAGGAGTGGTTGAGGATGAAGTAGCGATCGTGGAAGCCGGTGCTCAGCCCAAGCCCCAGCAGGTTCCTCTCCTCCCGGAATTTCATCATGCCGTGCTTGCAGTCGCCCACTCTGCTGGCTGGGGGCACGTGCCTGAGCGGCTCCGGCCCCCCGGGGGGGTCAGGCCCCCCAGGAAGGGCGCAGGGTGCAGACAGACCCTCGCCCACACCGTGGCAGCTCTGGCTGCTGCAGGGCCCCCGGCACTGCCCCTCTGTGCCCAGCCCAGGCAGGGCAGGCAGGACCAGCTCCCCCACCCACTGGGCACAGCATCCGTGGGTGACCCTGTATCAGGGGACTCCCAGCCACGTGCTAACTGGGCTGGAGCCTATTCCACTTGCATGGATCCCATCCCACCCTATCCCATCCCCTTCCCCATTCCCATCCACTCCCCCATCCCCTCCCCTCCCCTCCGTATCCCCATCCCTGCCCATCCCCACCCCATCCCCTCTCTCCTCTCCCTGCCCAGACTGTGGCCCCTGGCTCTCACCGAGGTAGATGAGCATGTTCTCCATGGACATCTGCTTCTTCACCACCAGGTAACTCTCTGTCCCCAGGCAGTGCAGGATGGGCAGGACTTTCTCAGAGTAATGCAAGGGCCGCTCTGTCAGGCAGGGGACAGGCAGGTCTCAGGCAGTACCCCCAGGGCCAGCTCCCATCCTGGGGGTCACACCTGTGGCCTGAGGGTCTGCCACGGTCCTGCCACTAAACCGTGTCCCCAGGTGCCACATCTACGTGTCTTTTCAATCCCTCCAGAGATGGTGACTCCACCACTGCCCTGGGCAGCCTGTGCCAGGGTTGGCAGCCCTTTTGGCAATGGAATTTTCCCTAATATCCAACCTAAATCTCCCCTGGCACAACTCGAGGACGTTTCCTCTTATCACTTGTTACCTGGGAGAAGAGACCAACTCCCAGGCACTGTCAGCAGGAGGTTGGGGCAACAGCAGGCAGGACCAGGATCTCATCCTGCTCAAGCTGAGCTCTCTCTTGCTGCTGCCTATGGGCAAGCCAAGGCTGCTCCCTTTGGTGGCTGAAGAGCCCAGACACCTCTCTCCATCAAGCTTCAGAGGCATTTAAACCCCTAAGGATGCAGATAAGTGCTGGCCTGAACTCAGCCCATCAGCAGTGCTTGGCCACGTGCGAGCTGGATGCAGCGAGAGCTGCCCTCCCCTGAGTGCCTGCAGCCCATCCCAGCACTGCTCTGTGCAGTGATCCCCACAGGAGCCTTTTCATACCCATCCCTACATCCATCCCCACCTCCATCTGCATCTCCATCCCCATACCCATCCTCACTCCATCTGCATCCCCATCTCCATACCCACCCCTGTCCTCCTCACCACCCTCACACCCCTGCACCAACCTGCCTCCTCCCTCTCATTCACTTCGAAGCAGCTCCAGTAGTCCTTCTCCTTCATGACAATTTTCCTCCGGTCCAGGATCTCAAAGGTGAGCTCCTCAGCTGTCATCGTGGCCGGGATCTGAGGGAAGGGGGCACGTCTCCATCAGCCAGTGCCCCGGGCCCTTCCATCCTCATACCACAGAGGTGCCAGCTCAGCGTGTGTCCCCACGCCACCACAGAGGCTTGGGCACACAACAAGGGTGTCCCTGCCCCCTCTTCACCCTCCGTGCCCTCCATCCCAGGGCTCACTTTGACATGCTGCTCTGTCTCTGTCTTCTTCTCCTCCAGGTAGACGGTGCAGATGAAGTCCCCAGCTTGCTGGAGGGCAACAGGAAAATGCTTCAAGCTACAGCTTCCCATGCATGGGTGAAATCCCCCAACCAGCACGGACACCCCCTGCATGGGGCATCTCCAGGAGATGCTACAGTAGGCACTGGGGGCCCCGGATGAAGAGGTCCCTATGTCCAGGACCCACCTGCATTCCGCTGGATGACGCCTCCCGCATCTTCATGATGGCCATGATTTCGTCCTGCTGCTTCTTCATCTCTTGGTCATTCACCTGCCAGAGGAGCCATCGGGGCTGACCAAACCACCCTGGCTCCAGGCTTGGGGTTTCCAGGGTTTGAAAAGACATGGTACCCCGTCCCCTCATCTCCAAAGCAGGGACATGTCTGCAGACAGAGCAGACCCAGCTTCCTCCTCCTTCCACCTCCCCATCCCCTAGGAATGTCCACACACTGGTCTGACCTGGGGGTGAACCTACGTTAAAGATCTTCACGTAGTGGTTGATGAGGTCCTCCACCACACGCCCTGCCTTGTAGTCCTTCCCATCCGTCTGGAAGAGCGTGGGCCCGAAGACAATGGCCAGGTTGTGCGTGTTCATCTGGTTCTCCCCAGAGAAGCACTGGACCCTGCAGAGGACACCATTAAGATTCCTGCCCCAGAGCCCCCCCAGGACCCCTCCTTCAGCCCCCCATGCCAGGACACGACGCTTGGCATTGGGCACAGCTCGACCCCAAGGGACACGAGCCAAGGGATGAGGGCTCTCCCACGCCCCAGAGTCCCCCAGGACCCCGCAGGGGGTGGGTCGATGCCCCACAGGGGCTTGGGGAGCCTGGGCTCAGCCCCTCCATACCGGAAGAGGTGGTTGATGAGAGCCTTGAGCGTGGCCCGGTTCACCGGGGGGAGGGCACCCAGCAGCTGCCGGTACTCGCTGACCTTCGCCTCCTCATCCTCCAGCGCTGCCAGAGGGACGTGAGGGACAGGATGAACATGGAGAAGCACAAAGGGGAGACTAAGACTCAGATCCTCCCCTGCGCACCCCACCTCAAACCCTCCTGTCCTACCATGGGGATGGAGGATCCCAGATTCATGGGGCCAGAGCATCCCAGCTCTGCAGGGCTGGAGTATGCCAGGGCTGGAGTATGCCAGGGCTGGAGCATCCCAGCTCCACGAGGCTGGAGCATTCCAGCTCTGCAGGGCTGGAGTATGCCAGGGCTGGAGCATCCCAGCTCCACAAGGCTGGAGCGTCCCAGCTCTGCAGGTCTGGATTGCCAGAGATTCATGGGGCCAGAGCACCCCAGCTCCATAGGACTGAAGCATCCCAGAGCTGAAGCATCTCAGCTCCATGGGGCCAGAGCATCCCAGCTCTGCAGGGATGGGGTATGCC